CTATGTCTGGACAAACACGTGTCTCTGTGTGTCTGCGTGTGTGTGTGTCTGTCTGTGTGTGTGTCTCTGTGTGTGTCTGCGTGTGTGTGTGTCTGTCTGTGTGTGTGTCTCTGTGTGTGTCTGTGTGTGTGTCTGTGTGTGTCTCTGTGTGTCTGTCTGTGTGTGTGTCTCTGTGTGTGTCTGTGTGTGTGTCTGTGTGTGTCTCTGTGTGTGTGTCTGTGTGTCTCTGTGTGTGTCTGTGTGTGTCTCTCGATAGCGTAGCGGTTAGCGGGCTGTGCTACAAACATAAACGACCCGAGTTCCATTCCATCTTACGGCCAACACCGGTGATGATTATCCGAACTACTCCTGGGCCTGCTCTAGGTCCACTCAGCAACAAATCAGTACTTGGTTCGGTGTGTAAATATCGCCACGAGGGAGACAAAGGCGGACGGGCGTGGGGCTGGCCATCCACCTCGCCCCGTTGCTGCGCCAGTCTTCATAGTTGTTCGCTAGCAGCACTTGCCCCAACAGTGTTGAGGCTAAGGCTATACGGGGGATCTTTGTCTTTGTGTGCACTAACATTGAAGGTAGTTTTAAGGCCTCCATTAAAAAATATAAAAACCGATCGCTATAATCGAGACCAGACAGAAAGGACGGAATGCTGTTGGCTTTACAATCAACGGAAACACCCATGGCTACAAATACAGCAAGCACAGAAAAAAACCAAACAGCAGAGAAACGTAATCAGTTTGTTAACGTGCAGCCGGTAAAACAAAAACAACAACGACGACGACGACACAGATGCGCTATTCGATGCGGGCGAACACGACAGGCAGATGCTGACACTGCGAGCGGACACTTATCTACAACATCTGTGCACCTTGCCTGGGTTGGATAAAAGGGCAAAGTAAAACATCCCCCAGCTTTACCCTCTCGCAAGTCTCAACCCTTTCACCTGCCAATGGCAATGCTTCTTGGCACATCCCACTGTCGAGATGTATGATTTTTCCATAACGCAGGTTTTTTTGGGTTAGATCGCGTGAATGTAAAAGTGTCGTTAAACCCGCCACCACCCGACACAGACAACTAGTTAAGGTTTGTCACTTAAACAGAACGTGCCAATTCGTTACTAGTACAGCACAACGGTGTGTTGGAGTGCAAATCCACAAGATTTACAATCTGAGTACGACGTTTCGTCATTAATTACAACTAGCATCATCATCAGGCGAACAGCCAGATTTGTGGAGAAATCCTCCTGTTTTGTTCTGTAAATAGAGGGATAGATGTGATGACGTCACTTGTGAGCCCTTCTTGTGCGAACGTATGATTTTGCAGGGAGAAGCCAAGAACCAGGTCCGTGGCCAAGCAACAAACGGTTCATTGGTTCATATGCATCCGTAAGCTCACGGCGCATGCGATGAATTGCTTGAAATAATTGATGTTTTTTCAATTTGTTTCGGTTGTATGTGATGGCTTAACGCGACCGCGGCAGCAACTGGAGGTGCTACCATATACCGCAAAGTCAAACATGATCATTGATTCTTGAACCAAAATGTGTCCATGAACCATTTGACGATTCAGCTAATTAGCAGATAGGTGCTTGCTGTAGTTACATCCATACTAATAGCATCAGTAAAAATATCGACACACTCTACTGAATGTCTGTGCATCGATTGGATCCCGTGTTACACCAAATCGAGCCAATAACTTATAGTTGCATCTCCCAGAAAACACAAACCACTTACGCTAATTACTTCATGAAAATAGAATTCCATTTTAACTTATACAGACGACGTTTTTATAGCTGCCTGCATGTTGACTGTCGTGTATTTTGATTCACTGTCTGCATGGCTGTGGTCGAATTTTCCTTTCAAATTGTTCGCCGTTATATTTTTGATTTTCAATTATTGATTTTCTGTTTTCCTCCAATCCCCCTGCTTGGGGTCCCCCCTTGAAAAGTAGAATTTAAGCTCAACGGGTGAACAAAAAATAAGCAAACTTAACAAAAATATTCATCAACATCTCGTGCTGCATGGTGTTAAATCAAGGCGTTGCGTACATGACATCTGAACGGAGTGCGCAGGCATGGGGGGAAGCTGCGCTGGTGAGATGGGAGGGCGCGCGAGCTTGCGGAAGTTTGCAAAGGGATTTTTCTACCACGTGCAGTTCATTGACGCGATTTAAAATGGCCCGTCAAATTGTATCATCACCGCCGCTTCTTCAAACGTTTGACCTCATTCGCAGGTCCGGCAAAGAAATTACGCAGTGTGCCATTCTGAGTGGCGAGGAGTTCACTCAGGATGCAACGCGTGCTCATGTCAGCACCACTTTGGGAGGCTTGATACGATGACCATAGTCACAAAAAAGGGGCCATCTTTCGTTCACATTGCGCTTAATGAGCCGGCGGGCATAGGTTGACACAAGGGTCAGAGAACATATAGAAGAGGAGGCAGACATTTGAAATTCCTCGACACGGAAGGAGGACTCACCATGCCAACGCATGGTACGCACCGAGCCAGCACACAGCACAAACACGCTTCACATTCTTACTCTTCCTCGCATTCCTGTTGTGCCGATTCACCAGTTTTTTGTGAATGCAAGTAGAAAAAAAATCATTAATGGTCTTTTAGATGACTGACATTGAGATCTTTGTTCAAGTGTTGCACTCAAGGTAGGCTCACTGGAGGGAGAGATCAAATTCTTGTCAAGGGCACACAAGGTCAAAGCTTCTGCCATATGGCATCGAGAGCCTGCTTGCGATTCAGATCACAGACAATACTCGCATTCTGATTCAACATTCAAAAACTGGAACTACATAACCCCAGAAAACATCCAGATTTAACAGCAGTTTTTTTTTATGTAAGCCTCAATTAAACATAGCATGTTTGATGCCATGTAGCAAGGTTTTTGGCAGAAAAATTCGTCCATTTAAATATAATTTGTGGCATTTAAATATTAGTTTCCATCGAGGCTTTGCAGTGTATTTGTTATTGAGACTCCTAACTCTTAGTAATAAGTCATGGTCAGTGGAGATTGAGCAAGTTGGTGATAACATTTGGCCATCAATGAATTCTAAATGAGTGCATAACACAACTAAGTTTCATTTAGTATGATAAGTAATTAAATACCGAGTAGATATTTAAATATTTTACGGATATTAGCTGTGCTAATATTTCCGAATTAACAATTCTGGCCGAGTGCTTTGTGGACCGAGTCAAGGATTGTGCCAAATTAAGTTTGCGACGCACGTTAAATTATCACACGGGGAGGTGGCCAAACAAACGCAAACACAAAACTGGGCCCATTTTTTGACAGCACGTGCATCCTCACCACGATTGTCTTAAAATTATAAATTTCGCAATTCACAAGTCAGCTGTTATATGCGCAGTCATATTCACTAAATTGTAAATTTTAAGCTCAATCCTGCACCTAACTTACTTAATTGCTGCTTGAATAATGAATTCTAGCTGTCCGTTTTATAAAAGTGGCTGCCCCAACGGTATGTCCTTCTTTCGGTTGCATCCATGCCGCGGGGATTCATGCCAGACTGAAGGAAGCTTTTGGATGTTTGTTCGATGAAGAGCAACATTTTGAGCGAAACTACACCACAAACCCTGGGTGGACAACAGATTCGTATTAAATGTCACGTAGCCGTAATTCACATTCATTCCGAAAATCTGTGAACCTTTGTAGAAACATCCATCGCCGTGACTTATGCACAGGGTGTTTTTACTGAAGGAATTTGCAGGAGGAGGTTATTGGATTTCATGCTGATGCACACATTAACGTAATCAAAACAGCAGTCCTTGCTTTAATTCAATAATGAGAAACCTTCACTGACTGTGTTCAACATATAATCCATTCGCCTCGTAATTAAGAAGGAAAGGTTTTTTTTAAACTTTTTGTATTTAATAAAATAATAATAACCTAGTGAACTCTGGTCTGTCATTGTTAGAGCTCATTTATCGTAAAATTATGCTCAGACTCAACCCCTCCCACGCTGTAATTTTTCTCATGTTGTATAAAAATAGTTCTCATCAAGTTGTACATCAAGGTTTCATTCACTTTTCTTTACGTTTTTTTTTTTTACTCGTAAGGATAACACAATAATCTGTTATTTCACCAGTGCTACGTTATGCAAGTATTCTGTTCTCAATCCTTTGTGACCACCATTTATACATTGGCCGTGTTGACCACACACGGTGTCAGGAATGTTAGTGGGAAGAAAACGCTTCTGTAATAGATCATTATGAAGCCACGTGACCCGGTCCAACCGGAACACACCAAATCAGGAGCATCGCTAGTTTTGAAGATTGGGGGAAATAGCGGGCTTTAAGTCATACATCATAATTTCACGCTTAATGCCCACTGTTAATTAAAACCCAATAGGACATATATGGGAGGCCTCGGCATCAAGCGCAGTTTCTAGTTCGGAAATTCCAATTCAGCAGATCACACCATAAACCGCTATACACAACCCCCCTGCCCCATAGCATTGGACGGGAAGGTGAGGGGGGGGGGCAGGAGGGAGCTAACCCCCCCCCCCAGCCAAAGCCTCAGCTCCCCCCTATAAAAGTTATTATCGCCAAAAGATGTCCGTTTGGCCCTCTCCTCACCACGACTCCAAGAGGACTAAGGGGTTCAGTCCGTTAATTCAAACCTCCGTCACACGCAGATCCCTCCTTCACCCACAGCTCTCTCTCATCGTCCCTCCTCCGACGTGCCCTCTTATCCCCACGGTCCCCTCTCTCATGACCTTCCCCTCCCGTCATCCCTGTCACCTCATTTCCAGCCACCCATCACATGTCATCGCATCTCAGACCATGAGTCCTCATCTCCCACCACCAACCACAAATCTTCATACCGCGGGGTTACTCCCGATCCAGCGGGTGCAGGGATCAACGTCACCACGTAGGGGGTAGGCAATGCTGACGTGTGTGCGTGTGTGTGTATTTCCACGTCGAGCTTCTTTCGCGCCGTACAAAGCCAACTGTGTTAAGGCCCGCCACGCTGGTTACCTGGCAGATGCCGCTGATGCACATGTCGAACGATCCCGGGGCGCAGCGCGTGCCGTCCAGCACCTTCGGCGAGAGCTCCTCCACGAGGGAGGTGCCCCGGGCCACGCAGTAGAGCGCGCAGGGCTTCTCGGCGCCCTCGTACACGGGCTGCCACTCGCGGTACTGCCCGCGGAACTTCACGTCGTTGTGGGCCGAGCACTGCTGCGCTCGGAAATCGCCCGCCTCCGCCGGGCAGTCCTGCCGCACACCCACGAAATTACGGGGGTCAGTCCGTGTTGTTTTCTCCATCGCAGTTACGACGGTTGGCTTACGGGGGTCAGTCTGTGTTGTTTTCTCTATCACAGTTACGACGGTTGGCTTACGGGGGTCAGTCTGTGTTGTTTTCTCCATCGCAGTTACGACGGTTGGCTTACGGGGGTCAGTCTGTGTTGTTTTCTCCATCGCAGTTACGACGGTTGGCTTACGGGGGTCAGTCTGTGTTGTTTTCTCCATCGCAGTTACGACGGTTGGCTTACGGGGGTCAGTCTGTGTTGTTTTCTCCATCGCAGTTACGACGGTTGGCTTACGGGGGTCAGTCTGTGTTGTTTTCTCCATCGCAGTTACGACGGTTGGCTTACGGGGGTCAGTCTGTGTTGTTTTCTCCATCGCAGTTACGACGGTTGGCTTACGGGGGTCAGTCTGTGTTGTTTTCTCCATCGCAGTTACGACGGTTGGCTTACGGGGGTCAGTCTGTGTTGTTTTCTCCATCGCAGTTACGACGGTTGGCTTACGGGGGTCAGTCTGTGTTGTTTTCTCCATCGCAGTTACGACGGTTGGCTTATGGGGGTCAGTCTGTGTTGTTTTCTCTATCGCAGTTACGACGGTTGGCTTACGGGGGTCAGTCTGTGTTGTTTTCTCCATCGCAGTTACGACGGTTGGCTTACGGGGGTCAGTCTGTGTTGTTTTCTCTATCGCAGTTACGACGGTTGGCTTACGGGGGTCAGTCTGTGTTGTTTTCTCCATCGCAGTTACGACGGTTGGCTTATGGGGGTCAGTCTGTGTTGTTTTCTCCATCGCAGTTACGACGGTTGGCTTACGGGGGTCAGTCCGTGTTGTTTTCTCCATCGCAGTTACGACGGTTGGCTTACGGGGGTCAGTCCGTGTTGTTTTCTCCATCGCAGTTACGACGGTTGGCCGCGTACGGGGGCACCGCAGTGGCGAGATGTTAACTAGCTCGCCTGGTGTGCAGGAGGTCGTGGGTTTAGATCCCGACCCTGACGCCTGTTGTGTATTTGGAGTTTGCGTGTTCTCCCAGTGGTCGCGTGGATTTTCTCTCGGTCCCACCGCATTTAGAAACATGCGTTTAGAGTATATAGTAGCTCGGTGGGCCTTATCTGATCACGTAAAAAATAAGTTTTAGTTTATATGGTGCCAAAGAAGTTACTAAGCACTGGTACCAAAGGCCCAAACGTGAAAATGGGTCATCAACAAAAGGGGACTATTTGAAGGCCAAAGTCACAATGTGGTTTTCTGCTCAAAGGAATATCGCGGCTGTGATCATCTCCCATTTACAGCACTGTGCCAGTGGTATAAATGTCTGCATTCCGATGGTGGGGGGCATAAGACAACCGCTGTTGATGTCCCCACAAAGCGATATTCATGATATCAACCCCGGAGGGATAATGGGATGAGTCTACCCCCAACCAGGATTTGAACCCCTAACCTCCCAATTGCGAGCTCCTCACTCTGTAAGAGTTAATCCATTTCATGAATTGGTTAGCAAGGTTATTGGAACCTGGGGCAGTGGATCAACGGTCGGTGAGGGGTTAGCAGAGAAGGTCAGGCTTGCACACTGAAGCACAAGCAACGGAAAGAAGACCGGAGATTTGCTGGATGTTTATCACGCGCCCCTGATTGATGGACTGATCATAGTAAACGTGTCTCCCAGCTCAATTAAGGTGTAGGTCCTTCTCATCTTCCCTTAGTGGACCTACACCAGAGGTGGAATTTCTACATTCCCATTGCGAGGGGCCAGTTTCTCCAAAGTGTTGATCATATATTAAGTGGTGCTCATTTTTATTGACCCCAGAGAGCTGGTGAGCTAAGTTTGTACCTCATGAGGATTTGAACTGAAATTCTCACAATTTTGAATGAAGGGCTATAAACGTCATCTTCTGAAATAAATATCATAGGTATGCTAACAAATTATTGCAAGTAAGCGATCTTTTTTTACCGACTTAACGGTTTGTTTACTCAACGAATAATAAATACACAAACACATTTTCAATGAAGTCGCAACCCTGCTTCGTGTGTCACTGGATAGGTGATGGACAGGGTGTTGTGACACCATTGGCATCATCAGCCACGTCACGCTGGGCGTGGCTTGGAGGGGGTTTCCCGCCTCCCGTGGGGCAGTTGAGTGACGGGCGGTCATCATTATCAGGGGCACCGTGTAATTGACTTCACCAATTCGGTGTGCGAGTGAAACTAAATGAGGGCCATTACCGAAAGTGTAAGGCAATCTTTTTTTCAGTTGTAAGGTGGCAATTTGTCAAGATGACACTGATAAAGTATTTATACACTTAGCTTATATTCTTTCTGGCAACTTAAGCTCTGAAATGTTTTCAACGGTGTTGCACATTGGACGCAGTTTCATAACCTGATAGAACGCATGAAAACAAATGTGTGGCTGAGAAAATATTGGAAAATGAAACCCTATCTCAGCGAGCTGAAAGAGCCATCTCAGTTTAGTTGGTGGCAGGTGTCTCCGTTACAATTCCGTCACGAGCACAATCAAATACGTGCCAAAAATGTAGTTTTTAGACAAACGACACGGTTAAAATGTGTGCTTATCAGGTTATTTGTGCTGCAATTCAGTTGACCAATAACAACAGCCACAATTGACCACGCAGTGGCAATGTAGTCGCCGCTACGGTTGTGCCAGGCTAGGTGTACTTTGAGGCCACGTGAAGTGTCGAAGGCTCACTGACGGGAGGTCACACAGTACAGATGCAAGTGCAATGGATCGATTGACTGAGATGAATTGAAGATGCACCACCTGTGCTCTCTACTGCGTTTTAGCTGCCTGGTGCTCCGCTCAATTTCCTTGAACAACACACACACACGTCTATATATATTGACCGAAGCATGACTTTTTATTTATCCTCCAATTCTTGCAACCTTTACATTGGGTTGCCATGACGTCCCAAAGTTTGCAAACGGCGGCGGCGGCGACGGTCGTCATTGCGGCCCGCGCAAATAAAAGCCCCATAGACTTTAGGGGCCGTCCATAAATGACGTCACGCGACTTTGGACGATTTTTGACCCCACCCCCCCTCGTCACGCGGCGTCACAAAAAGTCAGACCCCCCCCCTCAAATATGACGTCACAAAGCTCTGCCCCACCCCCCCCCAAATAAAACATGCTTCAAATCGCTTTAAACTATTGTCATTGTAGTGCGTATTTAATGTGGCGCTGCACTCTGATGTTGTAGGAGAAACATTGATTAAAAAGTCTATTTAATTAAGTAGAACGTGTTGTCTATGTCTTCAAAGTTGCGCATTTTTATGTGACGTCACATTTCTCAAACCCCACCCCCCTCCGTCACACATCGTCACAAATGTCTGACCCCGCCCCCCCCCCCAGGTGCGTGACGTCATTTATGGACGGCCCCTTATCTCGGCGGGCGCGGCCCGATGCCCAGCGCCAACGCTTGCAGGTAACGCAAGACGGCAAATTCGTGTGGAGGGGGGGGGGGTGGGGTTGAGCAACTAAGAAGAAAGAAAAAGCTTCCACCGGGGTGGGGGTCGGGGGGGGGTGGGGGGAGAATCTCGACTTCGCGTGACGTCGCCGCCGACGAGTGACGCGTTAATTTCACCGTCGAACGCCGTCAACATTTCCCGTGCTCGCTCCCCTCGGGGTGTCAGTCACAACGCCTCGGACCTGATCACCCCCCCCACCACCCTGCGTCAACGCGCCTCGGAGGCGGCTCGCGCAGGGCGTGACGTCAAGGGGAAGACGCGCACGCGCGTCGGGAGGGAGCACGCGCGTGCACGCGCGCGCACGTGCGCGCATCCGTCGACCTTAACAATGGCCACGACGAAGAAATGGGATAGCGTGTATCATCTCTCTAATTTGCTCGCACGCCTCCCCCACCCCACTCATAAATTTGACAAAAGCATCACCCCCCCCCCCCCCCCACGTTTGCGAAGACGCTTGACTGCGAGCCCTTTGAAACATCCAATGGCAGCAGCGCTCCGCATTCCGCCCGTCTGATCTTAAGGCACGCGGGCAAATCAGAGAGCGGCCCGCCGCCGCTCTGTGAAATCGCAGCCAATTTTTTGCGAATGGTAAAAATAGCCACTCCAAAAAATTAGTGGAACTATGCTCGCGCACACGGCGCATAAACAACGCGCGCGCGCGCGCACACACCCAATGCACACAGACGGGTGTGCACACATTCACACGCGCAGAGACAAAGATCCCCCATTTAGCATTAGAGACCGTAGGGGAAACGCTGCTCTTGAGCGCCTATTAAGGACAGCACGCGGTGGGCTGTTGTGGTCAACACCACACCAGGCCATCTCTCTCCTAATTAGTGATGTATGTACATCAGAGTAAGTAGTCATTTAAGGCTTTAATAAAGTAATAATAACCTAGTGAACTCTGGTCTGTCATTGTTGGAGCTCATTTATCGTAAAATTATGCTCAGACTCAACCCCTCCCACGCTGTATGTACATCAGAGTAAGTACTCATTTAAGGCTTCATTGACCTAGGAGAGGTCCAGGACATGTCCAGATACCACTTGCCACTGATAGTGTGTACAGCAGGAACGCAAACCTAGGCCAACCGGATTGTAGGGCAGTACCCTTACGACCGGACCATCACGTCCCATATGCCTGTGTGCACACACACACACACACGTATACTTTCCAATTGTGCATATAGCCAAGCAGCAAGGCTCTTGAAAGACGACACTTCAGTCGAATTCAGTGTCTTAATTGTGCCAAGTCATATCGTGATGGGCAGACTGCGCTATGTGCACAGAAGTGACCTGGGCTCTCTAGCGCAGATGCCTGAAGCAAAATGAAGGAATGTTATGGAGTGACAAGCCACAGGCTGTGTGCTGTACATTCTAAGCCTGCCAAGGGAATCCAAAGGGCAGCAACAACGGGAAATAAATCAGAATGCCTGAACTTGACCCATGTCAAATTAAAACTGACACACGGTTCAATGAGTACTATTTTTGGAATGTAAAACTTCAAAATGGTTTTGTTTATTTATTTATATGAACACACATATAAGTGAAGCTTTTGTTTAATTTCATCATCAGTGTAATATTTAAACCGTGTTAAATGTATCTTTGATCAAATGTCAACCAGAAACGGTTCATTTGATGCATATGGATACAATTAAATGAATGTTTAGTGGAATTTAGATTTTTGCTATTTTAAAATATACATTTTTCTACATTCATTTCACTCCGTTGTCACTTGTTAGTTATTAATATAAAACGTGTCGTGTTTTACCTAAAAAAACCGCGACAATTTCCCGTGGAATACATCGACGCATTACACAACACGGTAACACTTTATTTTCTTGCGATGTATTATTTGGTCTGTCATACCTGCCGTTGTTTGGCACGACTTTCAGCACAAAACAGAATTCTACAGCCCGGCCCGCGCGAAAGCCCACGCAGCGGTAACATGTATTTGATTGTTTTGTTGAATTGCCATATTCTCTCCGTTGTTTGCTTTAGATATGTATCTCGCGTTCGGGCGAAACCGGTGACTGAAACGCGCCTAATGCGAGTGCTAAGGCGTACCTCTTCGTTCGTGCAGCAACACAGGCACTGAGTGACAGGAAGGTATAGTCGCGTGCGACCAGGGCTTTGTGTCTCTGACATCCCAATGACCCACTTTGCTTTTAGAGGCATTTTAAGCTATTGCATTACATGCTGCTGGGTGCCCTCCAGTTAGGCTGAGCACCTGTGTGATGCTTTTGGCACAGGTCCAAACAAAAAGTGATCTTTACTTATCCACTAGGTGGTGTTAAAATCAAGTCAACTTAAGGGAATGGAGGAAAATCTGTGTATGATTTGTCCGTGAGCAGCATTCCTCCGATTTGTATTCGTGTTTCGTTTTGCTTTGCTTTTAAAGTGCCACCCAATAAAAAAAACTATGAAGTGGATAGATGTCATGCATAAGGCAAGGTGCTGTTTTCTGCTGGTGTGATTTATTGCATGTAGCAGCTCGCAGAAGTGAGCGGCTGGCATTTGACCATTGCGTTACGAATGTGCATGCCATCACTCCGTTTGAAAAGTTGTATTTTATTTTTCTTAAGGAATTAGATTCGCTGTAAATGATCCTTGTAAAGGCATAGAACATTCCGTGCTCTAACGCCAGAAGCTAGAAGATCAATGTAAAATAATACAACAAAGGTAATGTGAAAAAATGCTTCATGTTAATTTTGGCAAGTATACTCCACGCGACACTAATTTTAACTACAATAACTTACAGTTAGATCTCGTAGATTCGTGTAACGTATCATAGAAAGGTGGTGGAATAAAGTAAAAGACATGTGGAAAATTAACACCGGATGGAAGTCCATAAAGGAATGATTGACAGCGCTGATAGTCCATCTAGAGAAAGCCGTATCGAGGCTAATGCTGATTTATGGTCATTTTAGAGACTTAAAGAGAGATGCCCCTATAGCTCACCGGGGAGCAGTTGCATGCCGCGGGCTCAGTTGAAGCTTACGATGTTGTCCACTATGTGTTTTCATCATTATAATCGGCAGGTGTGGCTAATAGCAGGCAGGTGAACATTTACCATGGTACGGCCCTGTAATGCGGTAAACCCCAAAGGCCTGACCTGGATTAGGAGGTGTGAAAAGATATGATAGACCGCACAGCTGGCCTGACTTGAACTTGCAGCACAGCAATAGCACTTGGTGAGGTGGCAGGGTTCAGACGTTACGTCTGCATTTGGATAAGACGGAGAGAGAATGACTAAATCACGCCAGTGTGGACATTTCCCTCGCAAAGTAAATTCACGTTCCACTGGGTTAACTTTAAATTTCCTGAACACATTTCACGAAATGCTTAAGGCAAAGGTGAAGCCCTGCAAATACTTATTTGGGCTTCCACTGGAGGGAGTTCCACAAGGCCCCTCTCGAGGGTATTTGCGCCGACTCTTCTCTGCTGACATCTGGGAGAAGGTGGGAACACTCACACTTTAACCCGCTGCACGACACCTGCAGTGGGTTAAAGGCGAATTTAAGAAACTTGCACCGTTGTATCAACCGCCGCGCCTGGAGTTCTCATCTCGTCAAGGAGCATAAACCATCCACGCGAACTCTGGTCATCCTCGCGGCAGCAGCAGCAGCTCTTGACTAGCCAATCGAACAAAGACGGTCACTGCATCGCGCGCTTTAAGATGCGTTTCTGCGGCCGCATGGAATACTCTTCCGATATTAGGATGCCGCTGGAGCTATGCACTTTTACATCACCTAGATTGAGAAATCGTACCTTTAGAACTGATTTTTGTGTTTAGTACGTTGTCCTTCCCCCACACCTTCGATTTGCACGGTTGGCTACGTACGGTGCAAAAGAAGTTCAACATACACTACACACATACGAACTGGCGGTCTTTGGATTGCAAGTCCAGTGAGCTAACCGTTACACTCCGGCCACAACCCATGCATCGAGGTGCATTAATTCATCCCTTCAATTTGGTTTATGGCAATAACAGCTGGAGAGTGTCAATTTTAAATCCTGCTTGGGGGGGGGGGGATCGACTCAGCCAATGCTTCATTAGTAATCAATAAAATAAGTACTACTTTGTGAGAAGTCAATGATGGTTATGCCGGGAAAGGTCTGGTTCCATCTCAGGAATGTGGGAATCCACCACCAGTGCTGCCCAATGATCACCGAAGTGTGAATGCACCTAATTGAAAACACACACTATCCCCATCAGGTTTTCATTTACTTTAAATACCATTTCAGTTGCTAAATCTTCAACAACGACGGCAACAAAAACGTGATGCCAATATATACAGAAGCCAGAAAAAAATTGCTTAATAATTCTGTGTAAAATCGAAATGAACACGCTCCTTGTGTAAAAATGTTGTTGATGTTTCCGTTGTATAATAATATAGCACGTTTCTCATCCCGCCCCCCCAACCCCTTTGATATTCGAAACCATTTTCAAAACGGGCGCAGTTACAAAATAGTTGCAAACACGTGGATACGTGCACGCACATGCAATTCAACATGAAAGACCACGGGCTGCCCCCCCCCCCCCTCCGAGCCATTTCACTGTGAAAAATGAAAATTGTCACCGAACAAAAGTTCTCACACTCGCCAAGCGTGCGTCAGACAGAGGGAAACAGCGGGGAAACGCGTGAGCGTTGTCACGCAGCTCTGCGGTGGCTCGTCCTGAGCCTCCCCCATCACTCTCTCTCTCTCACCTCAGTGCTGCACGATTTGTATCGGATGGTCTGTCCCACGCAGCTTCTGCAGAGGCAAATGTGCAAGGTTAGGCTGACACTGGGCGCTCATCTGCGCCTTAACAGGATAAACAATTCAAGGCAATGTGGACGTCAAGGCAAGCAAATTTATGCTGCAGATGATTATTTTTATATGGACGTTCAAACGATTTGCATCACCTATTCATTTTAGGTAGGGTAATAAAAAGCAATTACACATTCCCATAATAAGTTATAAGGGTAACATACACAAAATATAGTAACATTGATAATTCTTTACAGCCCTTCGTCAATCCACGCCTGACACCGTGTTGGACATGATGGTTGTTTGACCATACTTAACTAGTGTGGGTTGATGTTAGCCATGGCCGGGAATTGAACGTAAATCATGAGGTTCATCACGTAGTGTGTGAACCATTGCACCACCACTCAACCTATAGAAATTTACGATGGCATACTAACAAATGTGATCACCGTACAGTCAGGCTGCCCCAACCCTCGGTATGCGATTTTTTTCAATAACTGAAATCAGCATAACCATATGCTTTTCGTGAACATGGAGACATATTGATACGTCTTAAGCAGTCAGAATTGAAGGATTAAAGCAATGTCTATACAGGGAGCAAATAGAAATTGAAGTTATAATGAAGTCACCAGCATCACCAGCAGTTTCATGTTCACTCTTCTTGACACCGACTCCCAGAATACGGTAGTCACGAGCAGAAAGCGCCATGAACTAAGAGTACATTCTTTTTAGCAAGCAAGGTAAGGATGATCATCCCGGTGGAAATTTCCATGGGATATACTGAAAAGCACCATTGTTTTGTGAGAATTGCGTGCCGGTCGTCTTTACAAATGGAGACAATTGAGAAAGATTTTCCGTTTGCAATCTTCACCATTATTATTATTTTATTACTTCCCTTCTACGTGACTTTACCGAAAGAACCAAGAAGACTTCACCAGCCTCTTTATCAAAAGCAATTCTTTCAGCACTCCCATCCATCGCTCCCCGAAAAAAACCCACCCCATGATATGCATGTGGCCGGCGCATTATCTCTATCTGACAACGGCAGGTCCTGCACTTGCAAGTTTTGAAACAGAGCAGAATGCAAAGAAGCCGGCTTCTTTGCTAAAAAGCTGAACCGGCAGTCTGCTTTAACCTGTGAATGCTAAACGGGGATGAGCAGAGAGTGGTTACATGCAAGACATGTTTGTTTACATGCTTTGCTGAATATTAAAAGCATCCCAATCAAATATTTGGTCAATCAAACATCCAACAATGTGGCGACTTAAAAGTGATATGTTTATTGCAAGTTTTGCAAATTTAAGCTGAGGATTGGTGTGGAAACAAAGCTGAGTTCTGTATAGCGAAAAAAAATATCTTATGAAAATTGCTTTATACTTTGAGGCTGGTGTGGTCATGAAATTGTTAGGAATCATTTACCTCATGTCACTGAAATACAACCCTGGGCTAAAGTGTACGTAAATAATGGCTGAATTACAAGGCAAAATCAGGGTCACGTATGGCCATATTTGCAAAGCAGGCTGCTTAATATGTGAGCGCACTGGGGTAGGGTTCTTTTTCTCCGCGTAAAAGGCAGCATTCGAGCCAACGTGGACCCTGCATGCACTGCGACCACGTGAATTAATGAATTCATGAGCGCTGTGGGGGGGGGGGATAAAAAAAAAACAGTGGCCGTCATTATTGCCGCTATCGTCCGTTAAAAGCCCGAGTTTTGCGGAGTTTTGCTAAATTTTGGCTCGCCCGGGCCTCCCTGCCACGGACAGGAGTCCAGGGAATCCGAGCGGCGGTTACTCCAGCAACGGCGACCACCGGGGCAAGCGCGCCTCAGCTAATGGGGCCACGACGCTGGAAATAATGGGCCTCTAGCTGAGTGAATGTCACGCCTGCTGACCCACGCACGCTCGCACCCCCCTCCACCCACCACCCCCACATCGGCGCAATCTCAAATGTCTACAAGCCGCTACGATGCGTGAAAAGCAATCCCCCCCCAACCCCTCCACCGCGGCAATATCTGCACGATTTGCTCAGTCCAATTTGGGCGCTAGGGCACGAATGCCGAATTTGTTTAGATAGAGCTCAGGACCGCCCCGCCAAAACAACAACATCGTCGTCGTCACGGGGGAGGTGGATGGAGGGGAGGCATTGTTCTCCACTCGGATGTAAACAAAGTTGTTCATTTCCCTGGCTTGGGCTACGTTTCTAGATGACACTTAAACGAGTATCAATTACGACCAGCACAGTGCGATGTTTCCCCCAATTTATTCACAACGTGGTTATGGAATTATGTAAATTGCCACTGGGATTGTGTGTTTGCACGCTGGTGGGTGTGGCATCGCACTGCAGGCCTCTCTTAATAGATGCCATGCTGGCAGCATTTGTGGGCCTGATTTCTATAATTTCCGGAGGCTATACAGCTGTATTGCGGTATTTAGAAGCCAGATTGTGTGGGAACCCACGTATACCCCCCTTTTTTCTTGCATGTGTGTGCTCTGTAGACAACACATGTACATATTTAGCAAATGTTCTGCAAATACTGAAATCAGATTACTACACACATTTTAAGTTCAGTGTGCCCATTCCCTTCTGAGGTTCTAAATTAAATGCATAGATATCCAAATGTATCTCTTTCCAAGCAAATAAAAATGGTCACCCTATGGAGAGACTTGCTGCCACCATGATAATGTGGAATGCCCACCAATGGCTCTAACCTGCCCACAAACATGCAGACCACTTCATGAATGATGACTTGTTCAAAAATGTGAACTGGGATGCGCTCACTGATATGTCACATTGGTGAAATCAAAACAGGCCCAAAACAGGACGGCGGATGTAGTTTTGCCCAACTGCCTCCATTGGCCGAACACAATTTTGGGGACATTATACAAAATATTACACTAGGCTAATAGCTCTGATTTGACTGCGGAACAAAACTGTACATATGAGAGGCGTTAATGTGAACCACCGAACGGCCAAGTAGCACTGAGAAACAAACAGGGTAAAAATGTGCCTGTGGCTACAACACGCAGGCATGCGAGCTTGTTTAAAGCACAAATTCATTAAGATATAACGCAAATAATCCAAAGCATTTATTGGCCGCTTTTAAAATGTTGAAACAGAGCAGAAATCCATTTGTACTCAACACAATAAACAAGATGTTATGACCTGTAGTTCCCCCCCCCCCCAAATTAGTGAATTCAGTTCACTACCATAACATACAGACCTAACCGTGGGTGTTCATCCTGTATAACAGCCCTCAACAATTTATAGTATTTACCGTAACATTTTAAAGCAGGTTCTCGTTGGGAAGTACAAAACACGTGAACATAAACGAGACGACCACCACCGAGGCCTCGCTATGTTAACTGCCTCATTGCAGACAGACATAGGTGTTGGTTTGTCCATCGCACACGTGGTGGACGTTGATTGCTCGCTCATTGTTGAGTGCGAGACCGAAGCAACTTACTGCGCTGCCATCCTCATGGGATTCACCGACCACAATGAGTAATCTGAGGATCTGATGATGCTGGTTGGTCACACATGTTGCCTCAATGAATGTTGCCTCAGTTAGTGATGCAAAACGGATGCAGACTATTTGCCTGCACGGAGGCAAGCGGTCGTTTATATAGTATTCTGCCGTTGATTTACTCTGGAAAGCCTCACTGAGGCTAATGACTCGTTTTTGGAATTATCCTGCTTTGGATGTTTGGCCAATTTCATATTGAGTATATTTGCACGTGGGAGCAAACGTATATGAGTAATGAACGCCCATACGCATCGGTCAACAACCTACTTGCTGTACTACCTCGCCACCGATGAGTACGGTTGGCTACGTAGAGTGCGAAATAAATCCAACATGCATATATACATAAAAATATAAAACTACTTAAACGATAAACTATTGTTTATCTTACCAGGTAAGGCCGACAGAAGCGACTTGGCCACAAATGAAAGCTCAACAAAGTGGCTTATCGTATGGAAATGTATTGCAGCCAAATACTGTAATCGCACGTTTCTAAATGTGCAGGGAAAAACTAGAGGACCTGGAGAAAAATCCACGCGGCCACAGAGAGAACCCGCAAACTCCAAATATACAGGCGTCAGGGTCGGGATCAAACCCACGACCTCCTGCATACCAGGCGAAATAGTTAACATCTCGCCACCGTGGCGCCTACCTTCCCATCCTCTTACCTTCTACTAACCCTGTGGCTGGGTGCTCCACCATGCATGATAGTGCATTTTCCACCAAACTCACCTCATTCATTCATTAATCACACATAGTCAGCGAAGGACCGTTGCGCCAAACCTGTGACCTCTTGCGACAGCGTTCGCATGAACTGCTCTTGCTGCCATACACCGCCGTCTCGAGTGATTTGTTTGATCAACGGATTAAGGGGTCCACTTCGAACCTCAACCGCCAACTGAAGTTGCGCAATTTGCTGAAGGAGTTTGCGCATCAAGAGAGGCGACGTGTCCAAAAAGTGACAGCCGCCTCCCTCGAGCCGAGCTCTCAATCGCTAGGAGACCAATCGCCAATGCAATGGTGACATTTCTGAAAAAGTCAAACCATCGGACGCCACCTCTGAAGTTGCTGTGTCACAGACGCGCACCATCACACTCGAAACAGCGGCTCAAAAACTCGCGCCCACGTCCCGCAGCAACGAACTTACCTGCCCGCCAGGCACCGTCGGATGGAGTACGAGGCCCCACCTCCGCACGTGCGCGAGCACTCGCTCCACGGGCCCCAGGCGTCCCAGGTGGGGTCCCTCTCCTCTTCCTGCTGGCTCCCAGGCAGGACCTGCGAGGAGGTCACAAGAGGACAATTGACGGGAAGGAGGCAGGGGTGAGAGGGGAGCAAAGCATCACGTGGTCACGTTTGCGTGCGCGTGTTTGTGTTGGGGGGTTGCGCTTTGAAACCGGCGTCCTGGGTTCGATTCCCGCTCGCAGTCACCTCCAGTGATGATTATCTGAACCGGTCCTGGGCCTCCTCTAGGTCGACTCGGCCTCAAATAAATACCTGGCGCGGTGTGTAAATGTCACCACTCGGGAAATAAAGGTGGCCGGGCGTGGTGATGGCCACTCACCCACCCCCTCGTGTGCTGTTCCGGCCTTCATAGGCACTAACAGCACTTTCCCCAACAGGTCTGTTAAGGATATACGGGGGATCTTTGTTTTTTGTGTCGGGAGCCGCACTCCGGCAAGCGACATCGCGAGCAGCGCCATCAACTTTACTCGCAGGCAAAGAGGCCCTAGGCAGGAGAAATTTGATGGAAATGTTAGCTCCTCTGTCACTTAAACTCTCGCCAACGACCCCCCCCCCCCCCCCAACCCAACCACCGGACAAAATAAAACAATTCTAATCGACGCTTCTGTCCCACATCTGCGCAACAAGAATTTTGAAGATCAAAGTTTCCCCGTGAAAAATGTAAACGTTCCGCCACCACTTGCCCACACCTGTGTGTGGCTCTCGGTGGCTCTTAGGAGGTGCGCACGAGCTGGAGATCAACCGAGGAACGCCCCACTGATTTTTTTGTCGGCTAGTTTGGATGGGAGGGGAGGGAAAGGGACATTTTAGGTTTTCTTTTTTGTATAAATCTCCTCCTTTCCACCTCCACCCCCCCCCAGCTTCTTCAAGTTCCCTGCTGGGTTTGCCCCTGGAGCAATGCAAGTGGTGGTGCGGTGAAACAAGCAAGAGATGTGTTCTACCGAGTGTTCCATTACAAGCGGGGATTCAACGCTCTTGCGCGCGTCACGGTGCCACTGCACGTACACACACGCACGTGCAGTTACGGAACACCTGCTTGCAGCCGCTGTTTTGTAGAACATGCGTACTTTTTTCCTGCGGTGCCCAAATCAAGTGCCCACTGTTTTCGCTTAGCTTGTGGCCACTTGCGAGGGTTGCAAGTGGCTACAATTTGGAATGAGAAGGAGACCATTAAGCCCATCTGGCTCATTCTAATATGCACCGACGCCTTCTTATTCACTCTTGGAGGTTCTCATGGCATAGCCACGTTTTCCCACCATTAATGTCTTACCCAACCGTCTTATTTAGTAACCACGTACTCGTTCCTACCGCTTTTGTAAGTCCAATTCGTTTTGCTTATCCAGCAAATATTGGCAGGCTTATTCTAAGAGATCAGTTCGTAACTCACTAGGAACCAGTCTTCAGTGCAGTACCATTTATTGCAGGTTTTCTCAACCTTGTTATTGGCCACAGAGATGTTTCAGCCAGAGTGTGTAATGGTGTTTGTCAATACACGTCAAAACAGAAACCTCTACACTTCACCGTAGCTCAAAATAAAGTGCAAACTCAAACTACCACCCAGTTGCACAACCGTGACCAAAAACCATCCCATAGACACGCACAGCTCAGCCTTGTCCGTTAAATGCCACGTGTTTTCGTTTTGCATTTTATGAGGCCCAATATTAAACGAAACGATAACACTGCTCAATCAAGTGTTAGCCTCGGTGACCGGAGCCAACGAACATCTGCAGAAGACTGAATTAATTTTTGTTGCAAAATGTCGAGCGTTTTTTTTTTACTACACGCGTAATTGCAGAAATTAGGCAACACACACAAAAATGTGCACGTCGACTGGAACAAAAGCCTTTGCACGAAACCATTTATTAGTGGAGGAAAAAATATATCAAAACATTTTCGTGAACAGACGTGCATGCTTCAACTCACTTGTGATCGTCCCCAGCCTGCCAACTCTTCGGGAATATTGTCAACACAATTCGTGATGACAATGTCCGCCTCTTTGCCGCCCCCCCCCCCCCCAATTATTTAGCATGAGACAAGCACACAAGAGGCAGGAAATCAATTATTGGCACTTTGTTTGCAGTGCATGATGTTCTCAGACCCAGCGTGCCATGAGCCATGTAATATGAATTTAATTAGGTGTAATGCGGGCTAATATACCACAGGTGCTTCTGCTCAGCGGTCAGAATAACATAACCCCTCAGACAGGAGCTCAATTATATGTCCGATTGAATTTTAAATGGTGCACTTTACACTAAAGAAAACATTCGACACCGGGACATAAATTGATTGAGCATGTGACAGACATGCCTTCTGTTATGAAATTATGTTACAATAGCCCCCTATGTTTACCAAATTACATAATAAGGCTTGTAATTACTGCATTGGTTTTTAGCCATTATTTTCTGGCATTGATGCGTTTCGTTAAGTGCATCTGCACAATTTTGAATTCTGCTGTTGTACATTAATTATGTTCTTTGGCTAAGCTCCTGCTAAATCCTGGCATTAAGAAGATTTGTAAAGCCAGATCTTGGTTCCATCCCCATGTACGAGGGCAGAAAATGCCCCTCTTAGTCAGTGAGCAGTGGCATTTATAGGCTAACACTAACACCCTGTCATAAACCCATAAACTTAATGGGAAGAAATGTTGTTAAAACAAGAACTGCACTATGTTTTTACGTGCATTTTGCTGCGTGATTTACAGTTCACGCGGACTATAACCAGCTACAGGGGGGTTATCAGCTGGCTGTTGCAGACTTCCCACCACTTTGCCGAACTTGTGTCGACTCTTTCCACTTGTTTTTTACTGCAATGACATCCTCGGACTTCGGCTGCATTGTGGACAATAAACCAAGCGTGCAAACAAATACCAAAACAATTGAAAATACATCACAATAAAGTACGACCGTACGTACGGCTATTATTGTGTACTGGCAACAGCAAATAATTGTTACTGCATCGTCGACCTCATTACGTTTAACTAACACGCGTTGACAATACTCACAGGGGTGCGGTGGCCCCGTGATGAGCGCAACGCACCGACAACATGCTGACGTGAGTTCAACTGTTCAACATGGCTAACGTCAGTTCAAGTTCAAGTTCATTTATTAGGTATAGCCCTGTGAGCCATTCGGCTCTTGAATCGGGTGCAACCGCAAAAAAACAAAAACATGAACAAAAAAACATCTGAAAGTGAATATGTGACTGAGTGCAAACAGAAAATCCAAGAAAAGACAGCAAAATGTTGCAGAAAAAAACACCGTGCAGTGGCGAGTGATAACTGAATTGGGTCCTAACCTCTTCTTGCACTCTGACCAGAGTGTCAAACATTTGCCATGTCGACAAAAGATGGGGAGGCCTTCATTCAAAGGGCTGGTTTGTGTTGTTATTATTGTTGTTGTTGTTAATTAGTACGATCAATGTTGATCCATATTCGTGATGTTGCACGTCGGTAAGGGATATAATGTTGCCCTCGGTGGTGATGTAATTCCCTTTTCAAATGTTCCTTCCAATTGGCTGGTAGAGTGTGAGCAAACGATTGCAACAGAAAACCCTTCCAGTGTTGCCAAAACCTGAAACTATGTTGTTTCCTGCATGATTTTATGGTTTATTTACAAAGAAGATATTAATGGTCGTCTCGGATTTATCCAAACTTCACTCCGAATGGTTAAACGAACCAGCCTGGGTTTTTTGTATGTGATGGGAATTGCAGAGGAGACATTTCAATCATGGCATGAAGATATTTTTTGTAACAATATACACACATGAGCACATGGACACAGCTCATAAAGCGGAGTGATATATATATATGTACGCAGCTTTTTGGTTGGGTGATGAATTGCAAACTCGCGGTGCCCGTGATCAAACGCGTGGAGCGTAGAGGACAGGGTCAGGGTGGCAAGAGCCAAAGCTTTCATGTCTGAATTTGGCGACTCCAAATCCGAGTCACGCTCCCAGACGTTCTTTCACAGCCGGGCCCGTCCGGCCGCTCTAAACAACGCCGCCAGCTCGCGCGTTGCTTTGATCAGCGGTCTCGTACGCCGGACTGCGGCTGCCTCTCAATCAGGCTAACGCAGCAGTTCTTGGCAGAGTGGGCCCCTTTCACAGGCCAGGCCACGCTCTGCGTGCGGGCGACGCGCCGCCCGTTACCCAGCCGCACCTGCTGTTTTGCACCGTGTGCGACGGTGCCGTCGATAACAGAGCTCTCTTTTGTGTTGTTGGGCAGTGGATCGTTTAAAAGTCTGGAACGGCAACAGTATTGAGACGTTAGCTTCCAGTGTGATATTCGACTACGATGACCATGGCTTCATTTAAAACGTAGCTGTCTGGGGTTGAGCCCAATAAACTATTTCCTGCCCTCCCCCCCCCCCCTTTTCCCAGAGGGGTCCAGTGGGTTGGGGGTATTGGGCGTAGGGGAAATCTGAAAAAGATTTTGTGAAAAATTACGCCGCGATAATGACAATGGGTTAACGGTTTTCATAATCGCTAACTGAAAAGGCGTCATAACTCGCATTATCATCACCCTGTGCAATGGTACTTTTTCAGGAATAGCTCAGCTCTGCATAAAAGTCATATACTGAAACAATATTGTAGTTTTCATGGACAAGGCCATGTGCGGATGTTGGTGGTGTTTTGTTAAAATCAGTCGACACTTGCGTAATGATAGATGCACCTAATTCAGGCTGGTAATCGCGCCAAATTATCGCAATCACTTCACATTATCATCTGCACACTGCGATAAAGAACGATTCAATTACATTGGGTCAAGGGCCAAACTCTACAGATAGATTATAGAGCAAGCTTACAAGTTTATCCACTAAATGATTTCACAGCACGGAGGCTGAATGTGCGCCCTCAGTCACACACACGCACACGAGTGCAAGCGCTTTAAAGAACCTTGAATAATGTGAAGCTACGGCTCATGTGTTCACGTTCACTTTAGCAAACGCCGAATGTTAATTGTGCGCATCGAATACACTGCCTTGCCCAGGGGTTTGGGAGGGTTCACAGCCAACGTCAATGCAAAGGTCAGTATG